AAAAAAAAAAAAGAGAAATTACCTAAATGAATATATTCTGAATGGGTGACTGCCAACAACTTGCAATTCAATGACAACTCTAAATAATGATCCTACCTCAAGAAGCATGTCCTTGATCTGCTTCACTGAGATTCATTTTTAATAAAAAGCGATATCACAATAGTAACCAAAGTATTTTTACTCTCACAGTAGCCTCTACTACTTTGTACCCTCTCACAGAACTATTCAGTTCAAAGGCTGCTAATTTTGGTCAAACAGCAATTTGCCTATACAGTGCAACTACAAGGCTATCTACTGTATTTGAATGACAAAAGATGACACTCACCTTAAAATGTCCTTTGTATATTTCTATTTGTCTTAACTGTCGGAACTTGTCCAGGCATGTTAAGTGGGAGTGGACTTGAAATCCTTAACTAAGGTGGAGAACAATGAAGTTATCAAGCCAATTGCATTACTTACTACAACTTGAATTTTGTTTTAAGTCAATTAACTCAGAAATCAGAGTTCAAATTACACACAATATTAAGTTGATGTAATTACCAACATTATTACGTCAACACAACTTATAAATTAATATTTGCAACTCAAAATGTTTATCCAAATCAATGAACTCACATTTTTATCTTGCAACCATGCATTTAATTAAGTGGAGGTGAAAGGTCGCCTGAGTTCGTTTTTAGAGTGTGAAGAGAGCATCACTGTTGTCCGTCCATTCCAGTTTATTGTTCAAGTGCACTCCTATAGTTGGTTTAAAAGATTGTGCAGCCTGCTGGAAATGTAATGTTGATAACACTAAGGTACCTGTGCTATGGACATGCCCCAAAATCCAAATTCAATTAAATTGTAGATGGAGACTCACTGTTACTTTGCTGATGTAATGTTTTGTATCAGACTGAGACTGTAAAGTGTTATCTGCTTTTTTGCAATTGAATTGAATTGAATTTATTTGTTCATTCTGTAAGTTTTAAAAAGTAAAATCATAGCACACAATAGAGATGTACGAAATAGGACACCCTGATCAACTATCCGAAGCTTTAAAGTAGGGGCCCAGACACTAAACAGAGTAATTACATATATACTACTTACACATCTAAAATTGGAGAGAGTTCATGTATTATACAGAAACATTTACAGGATAAAAATCACCATCCAAGATGTTAGTTAATCCTGAGATCTGACATCAGCTCGTTAATGAGCATATAGTCATGTACAGCACTCTCCTCAGCTGTTAGGCTATGTGAAGGTTAACAAAAATACACACATTTCTGTAGGTCACTTATTTTGACTAAAATGAGCTGACGAAAGTAAGGTCCAAGGAAAGTCGAAATAGGGAAACCCCTGGTAAAAAAAACGCTCCTACCTTTCCTGCGATCGATTTAAAAGAGAAGATTAAAGGGGATGACATGAGTGAAGGTCCATTGGCGGGATCTGAACCGGCATCTAGTGAAGTAAATCACCAGCGCTACAGAGTGAGATATGATGCTGCTCATCAGTCATCGTTTTATACTACACTCTTCTTCTCAGGTTTCTTTTTTTTCTGTGTCTAATCTGATGGTGTGTTTTTCTCTCTCAGAAAGTCTTGTTTGCACTGTGTGCTCTGAACGCTCTGACCACTGCTGTGTGCCTGATGGCATCCGCGCTGAGATACCTGCAGATCTTCACGGCGAGGACACCCTGCATGGTACGATCTCACTACAGGCAGCAGCAAGACTCATGTTGGCCTTCACCTACACTGGGCTGGCACCGTAGTTTACTCTTTGGAAACATCCAAATGTGTTTACTTCCTGTCTGTCTTCTTCTGCTGTTCCCTTTATTGTTTACTTCCTGTCTGTCTTCTTCTGTTGATCTATCTGACGTCAAATGCTCTGTCTTTTAACCTCCTTATGCTTTGCAGTGGTGTGTTATCGAGTATTAACAACCTCTGAATCCGAATCGAGTATTTAACTAAGCCGTGTAATAACACGTTATACTGTAAAATCGTTGTTGCATAAATGCAATTCCCAGAAGTAAAAAATAAAACGATTTAAAAATGAACTATATCAAAGACTTCAGGTACCCCCGCCTATATTCAGTTTGATGATGTTAGTAAACCTTCTCCAGTGGAGTATTTACTGACGCATTTCATCTTGCAGCATACAACTTAAAAATATTCAGTCTTCTAACCAAAAAAACAAAAAAGAAAGATTGACTTTGAGAAAAGCAAACAGGACTTGCTAAAATAGTAACTCATTTTCGAGTTTTAGGACTCATTCCTGCACCACTCTATAACCTTTAACATGGTGTATGATGTCACTGCTCTGTGATAGGACGAGCAAAGGGCCACAGCTGAAGAGAGGGAGGAGCCTGCTCAGGTCCCTGACCCAGATGAGTTTGTGGCCCCAGCCCCTCCCCCCTCCTACTTCTCCACTTTCTACTCGTACACACCACGCTTGGCCCGCAGGTAACTACCCCCCCCCCCCC